CCGTCCGCGGCAAGAGCAAGAGCAAGGCCAATGTCCCAGCGAAGGTCCCCGCTGAACCATGCGAGTCCCTGGCCTACTGGCCGGACCGCTCTGACACCGAGGTGCCCCCTCTGGACCTGGGCTGGACCGACGCTGGCTTCTACCGCGGCATGAGCCGCGTCACTCTCTTCACCCATCCCCCCAAGGAGGAGAAGGCGCCCCACCTCAAGCAGGTGGTCAGGCAGATGATCCAACAGGCCCAGAAGGTAGGCAGGGCTCCTCTGCCCACACCAGTGGTACCCCCACTCCCAGCCTCTTGGACCAGGCCTCACTTCCGAGACAGGACCCCATACAGGCCACCCTGACCACTCTCTGGAAAAGGGTCCCCAACCCGCCTTCACCTCCTGAGGCTGTGGTAAGGGCTCTAGAAGGGGTAAAAGTGAAAGTGCTAGACGGAAGTTGGTCACCGCTGGCCCAGTGTCCAGAGGCTCTGACTTTTTGTGCCCTGCCCTCAGGCATAGCCCGGGAGAGGGGGGCTGTGAACCCCTGCAGTACAATGGGCCACTCAGGGGTTTTCATCAAAATCTGGGCACTGTCCAAGGATTTGCAAAACTTATCCCTGGACATTTTCTCATTTGATCTTCACAACAGCCCCATGAAGTGGGTAGTAGTGACGCCCCCACCCCAACTCCTCTTAGGAGGCCCCCAACCAGACAAAGCTGACCTGACACCCTCACCTTCACACCTTCTCTGGGCCCAGTACTGAAGCTCCAGCAGCCTGGAATGAAGGAGGGAAGCTTTTTGTATCACCCGATGTGGCCTGGCATGGTGCTGGGCACTCCATCAAGGCAGGTGCTAGACTGCAGTTCAGGAAGAAGTTCCTCCTTGGCCCACTTGCTTTGCTTGGGTGTTGAAGGGAGATCCTTCTAGGTGGTGAGGCCAGTAGGTTGTGGGAAGCAGCCCATGGGGGATAACTTTAATCGTTCCTCTGTGCCCTTGTGCAGGACTACGTAGGTAGTTTCCAGGTAAAAGGTAAGATGTTCCATTAATGAACTTCAAATAAATAACAAATATCACAACTATTGCATGGGACATACTGGTACTGAAAAGTTGTTTGTTCTTTACCTGAAATTAAAACTTAGGGACATCCTATATTTTCATGTAATCTGGCTCCCCTCCACTGAGATGTGTTAAGAAACACCAGCAGCCTTTTGATGCCTAGTTCAGAATATACAATAGAAGTGGTTTGAGTTCATCATTCCAATTCACCTGCATGAGTGTGATTGGTGTCCCATGTCCCCTAGAAACCAGAGCTTCCCCTGGGGCTCCTCTGCCTGGGAAGGGTGACCCATGGGTTGTAAGAGGAAGGGTTAATTTTTCCCTGTCCCAATTTTATACCCTCTCTCTCTAAGCAATTGTTCCTCCTGTGAATGAGCTTTCTTTATATGTAGCATTTTGCAGAAGAAAAAGGCAAGAGTGAACACGGGTGGGGTGGGAAGAGAAGTGGGAGGTGGTGCTGGGCAGTAGGCTCAGCTAAGAGTCAGGGGTCATGTCTCATGTTATGTACTAATGAGCTTCAGTTTATTTAGCCTTGTGTGTCAGCCACTGTTCTAATGACTTATCAGCATTTTCTCTTGCTTTTCACAACTACTGGTCAAAACAGGTATTTTCCTAATTTTTAAGGAAAAGGAAATCCAGATCAGCACAGGACAGCACAATTTCTTGTTTGAGGTAACATAGCTAGTAAATGCCTAGGCCAGGATCCAAACACCAAAGCCCTGGCTCTTAGCCTCTGCACTACCCTGTCCCACAGTCTGAAATTACAGTTCCATGGGATGAAGCAAGGAGTTTGAATGGAGCTAGCCTGGTCACAGTCTGCTGGGGTAGAGATTGTATACCCTGGTTACAAGAAGAGAGAGATAAGGTCCCTTGTCACTGGGGCTTCTTGTCCCCCGTGGGATGTTGGGACTCCTCTGTGGAGTTTTCTTAACTCTTTAAATATTTAACTACAGGAACTTCAACAGTTGTGAACCAATCCTATGTGTACAGATTTAACCAATAATTGTTTCCTGGGCTAGGCTTTGGCCATAAAGAAGATCCAGGCTGTGACCTTTGCCCTCCAAGAGTTTAATGCTGAAGTTCTGCTGGAAGACGGAGGGGTTTTGAGGCTGAATGTGCATTCTGGGAATGCCCCCTGAGGGAGGGGAGATAGAGTTGGGAAAAAAGAGAAATTGGGGTATTTATCTCATAAGAGACTCCCAAAAAGCAGAAGGTTGATTGGCAAGAGTGGCAAGAGAAAGAGCTGTTGCGGTGGGGCTGAGAACTGAGTGGGTCTGGTGTAGGGTCCTTCATCTGGGTCCCACGTAGATGTCTACCCCTGGAAGCAGCAGCTTCTGGCCTTGTGCCCACCCAACTCCCAGACCCTCTGGGCCCCCACCCCAATCACTGTCTCTCATGTCTGTACAGCACTCTGCTTCATGGGGGAGGAAAATGAGGCACAGAGAAGGAACGGCGTTTGCCCAAAGGCCACGTGACTGGCCAGAGAAAGACCTAGAGCCCTAAAGGCTGTGCACCCCAGCTTGTCCAACTGGCAAGTCACTTTCTGTGGCTATTACATTAAATCCTTCCTCCTCCCTATTCTCCCTGAGGGAGGGAATTTCCTTTGTTTCCAGAGAGTCTGGCAGCTGAGGCCTGCGGCTGGGCTGGGCAGACTACAAGCTGGTTTTTGTGTAGAGATGCAGGTAGCCACTGAGAGGAGGCAGAAGGGCCAGTGTGTCAGAGAGACTTGCTTCTATTTCATTTAATCCTCAGTAACGAATAAGGTGCTGTCGCTTTTTGTTCCCAAATGACAACCAGGAAATTACGACTCAAAGGGAGTTGCTGTGACTTGCCCACACTCACAAACCAGCCTGTGTGATTGGTCCTCAGGGATATGGAGGGAGAAGCCTAATTAGGGGACACTTTGAAAGCATGATTGGGGATGGGAGAGAAGGAGCTGGGTGGCAGACAGGCCCCATACCTGTGGATAAGGAGGAGACCTTTGAGGAGGTTGGCCTAAACTAACTGCTCTCTGGGCCACTGCAGATGACTGACAGCCCTTCCCAAGCTGAGCTGGGTATCCAGCACCCCCCAGAGGGCTGCTTAGTTTAGTGTCATTGAATGATGTCCTTTGTTGCTTAAACTGCAGACAGAAAGAGTACCTTTAGGGACCCAGAAATGAGCCTCTGAACTAAGCTGTGCTAGCAGAGGAGATCAGGGCAAGTCCCTGGTGCTTGGGTGGCTTGGGTCATTGCAACTGCTAGGAAGTACTTTCTGGCATGACCGAGTGTGGACTGGCAAGCTCTTGGTTCTTGATTACAAAGCCAGAGTAGGAGGAACAAACAATGTCATCCTGCTGGGCTGGCAATTTGGAGGGTGTGTGCATCTGTTTGGTTCCTGGGCAAAGGTCCGGAGGTCTACTATGCGCTAAGCATACGTTAGTAGCAAAAAGACACATAAAGTACACCTCTACTCTTAGGTCATCTAATAGTCTGCTAACTCATCACTATAATTTATGACAAATGCTGGAGAGAAGGTGTGGCAGGAGGGGTAGGGCACTAGCCCAGCCCCCAACCCAGGTTAGGGAAGGCCTTTGGATGCTGAAGGCTTGTTTACCTGCATGTCTGAGCACAGCAGAAAGGATGAGATGGCAGTGAGCCATCTGCCTGTCCTTTCTCAGGGCTCCCTTATGAGTCACTTCCCTGGCCCTTTTTTACATTTAATTTTGAGACAGGGTCTCACTAAATTTCTTAGGGCCTCACTAAGTTGCAAATGCTGGCTTTGAACTTGCTAACCTCCTGCCTCAGCCTCTCGAGCCACCGGGATTATAGGTGTGCACCACTGCGCCCTGCTAGAGGCTTCCATTTTTGAGGCTGCTTGGGTGGGTTTAGAGACTATTGCCTTATGCTTCAAGAATAGTAGAAAACTTACCAGCCCTCACCTCAAAGATTATTCCTTGACTCCTGAATTCCTGGGTCCCGCACCCAAACCCACCAGCTACCCAGTCTTCTGAGTTTCCCACAAGTGGCGCAGTTCCCGTAGTGCTTCAGTCACTGTGTAAGGCAGTGTGTTGTCTTTGTTTCACAGAGAGGCTCTCTGAGGTCCACAAGGACAAGGTGACATCTTTAGACCAAGGACAGGAAGTTTACACAGCCTTCCCAGGTCCTTGGTCAGGATTTCCAGGGATCCAACAAAGATTATAAGCACAGCCGGGGAGAGGGAGGCTGCTGGGCCAGGTAGTGGCTGTCAGCTGAGAACTAGGAGCTGCTCCTTTTCATTCCTGTCATGGGTAGTGGAACAGCTCCATGGGGAAAAGGGGTGGGTAACCAGCCAACCCCACCTCTGTCAGTGGGCTTGTCCTTCCTCCTTCAAGTTTTGGCTGAGAGGCCACCTCTTTCTTGGCACTTTATCAAATCCAGAAGTTGTACACGGGTTGGTTTGGGGGAGCTCCTGTTATCTTCTTGGGTTGGGAGCCTTTCAGAGCAGAGAGTGTCTTACTCCTCTTGGTCACCTTTGCAGGCTATGATGATACCCTGATTGTCATGCAAGTGTCTGGAGAGTTCCCTGCTGAGTTGCCCTTCCCCAGGGGACTCCTTGAGTCTCCATTGTAACAAGTTGTCTGGCAGCAAAGGAAAGGATGCTCTAAATTGGTTGGGAGAGGGTGTGGGGGATCAGGGATCTGGAGAAACTCTCCAGAGTAGGTGGCAGGGGCAGTGAAGGCAGCAGCTTTGTTAGAGACCTGGGTAGCTGTTGGGAGGAAGCCGGGAACGGCTGTGATCCAGGTGCCCAGGGCACGTGGCAAAGTACTGGGCTTACCAGTTCACACCACCAAGAAACCCAGCTTTGGCCGGGTACAGTGGTGCTTGCCGTAATCCCAGCAGCTTGGAAGCCTGAGGAGGCAGGAGGATCACAAGTTTGAGGCCACTTAATGAGACCCTGCCTCAAAATGAAAAATAAAAAGGGCTGGGTTCAATCCCCAGTACCAAAAGAAAAATAAATCAAAATTCAAACCCCAGGCGGAAGTGGCCTTTGTCCTAAGTAGAGCCCACTGTTTCCTGTGAATCTCAATGGACACTTCCCTCATCCAGCTACATGCAGCAAATAATACGGAGCTCTCTATACCAGATTCTGCACTGTGCTGGACGTTGACATGCAGGGACGAAGCAGATGTCCCCCCAAAACAATATATAGTTTATTTTTAATATGCATATTATAAATAGTACATTTA